GTGAGTGGCCGAGAAGTCAAAGGTAAAGGGAAGAAAGGGGTGAGAGGGAGGAAGAAGTAGCATGGATGTCCATTTAGCAGGGGCGTGCATTCTAACATTTAGTCAATGACTAATACAAATTACGGGGGGAAAACGTTAAACTGTTCATGTGACGTTCAGGAGGGAAGGGTCCTTGGCTGAAACCATCATCGTCATTATCATCATCATCATCATCATCATCACCATCACCATCACCATCACCATCACCATCATCATCATCACTATCACCCTCACCACTACCACCACCACCAATCTCATCATAATTGTCGGTTATAAATATAATTTAATGTAATCATAATCATGCCTGTCATCAGAGAGGCACAAAAAAGGAGAAGCAGAGACGGTAGCCTGAGCAGTCCTGGTCGCTGCCAAAATCACTCGGTGGCAGCCCTTTTTGTGGAGCTGAGGTTCTTAACCTTTTGGTGATTCTAAGACCCCAGTGGACTGCCCGATCCGATTCGTCTGACTGTCGAAGGGCTCTTCATCCTTTTGTGTGGTTCATGTTAAATGTGGAGACTTTCATAGCCTAATATCGAGCGAGGCAATCCAGCCGAGTGCTTATTTATGATAAAGAGCGCAATATCATTCGATTTTAAGACAATTAATTTTATTTCTTTCATGCAAGTATAGGGTAGGTAAGATCGAGTCTCCTACCCCAGCATTTGGTTCTCATACCCCCAAGAGATATGGATACCCCGGTAAAGAATCCTTACTGTGAAGCCTTCAGGATGACGCCCCCGCCCCCCACCCCGCAGACCCTTCGTTGGACAGGGAGAAGCCGAGGAAGGGCAGGGAGGGCAATGGAAGGGGAGAGCTGCGTCTGGCTCCCGTGTTGCGTTCTCGATGGGTTTGCCGAAATCTCTTAGGAATTGCAGGTGCAATTTGCACTGCAATTTGCACTGGCTACATTAGTGGCTCATTCTACTTGGTTAGGTTAGATGCATTTACATGATGATGATGATATTAATGATGATATTAATAATGATAATGATGATGATGACAATAATAATAATAATGACAATAATAATAATAATAATAATAATAATAATAATAATAATGATAATAATAATAATAATAATAATAATAATAATAATAGTAATAATAATAATAATAATTAATAATAATATTAATGATAATAATGATAATAATAACAATAACAATTATGATAGTGGCAACAAAGCACTTACAAAGCATAAATCTTTGCCGCAGTGCAAAAGAATCCAGTAAGTACACAACTTTCTTTTAAAAGAAAATATTCCTACTAGTAGACACATTTCATAAAAAACACACACTAACAATGAATCCTGTGGAAATGATGTTGATAATCATAAATTGAATTACCATATCAAATTATTATTCAAGAACATTCCAGTTTCAACACCGAATAAATCCATTTTAGAATATATTAGCTAACCACATTTCTAGAGAAAGTCTACTTATTACAGACCTATTTTTCACCCTGGACAATGGCAGTAAAGCAATGGAACTCAACTGAGCCTTTGTGTGCGTGATTCCCAGAATTTGAGATTCACAGAAAAAATAACTAGATATAATCTCCGTCACACTTGGATGTAATAACATTACTGATAATGTTGCAAATGATAGTGGATGATATTAATGATATTAATCAAGGTGTGTCACATTTTTTAAAGAAGAATAATGTCCCAGCAGAGCCAAGTTTTGTCACAATTGACAACTAAGATAAATGATGTAATTTAATCCTAAATCATTATGCGGGTCCGATGCACAACCTAGATCCAAATGATTACTCCTTTACATTTTCCTCACACTAACAACTAACTAACTAACAAACAAACACCTTTAGTAGAGACAATGATAAAAGCCGCAGGGCTGATACTTATAGCGATGATGATAATAATATTGACGTATACCTTAAATATGTCGATAGAAAACAATTATAATTATAATGTCAATGACAATAACGATAATGACAATGATAGTGATAGAAGTGGTAACACTAGCAGAGGTACAATAGGTTACAATTGTACTGATGGCAGTGATAGTAGTAGTAGTAGTAATCATAGTAGTAAAAGTAATCGCAGTTGTAATGATAATGATAGCAATAATAATCGTTATTGTTTTTATCATTGTCATCATCATTGTTAACATTATCACTACTATTATGATTATTATCATCATCATTATCATCATTATGATTATTATTATTATTATTATCATTATTATTGATGTTGTTGTTGTTGTTGCTGTTATTGTTATTATTATCAATATCATTATAATTATTATTATCACTATTATTGTTGTTAATGTTGTTGTTGTTATTGTCATAACTATTGTTATCTGTATTATTGTTACGGTATTATCACCAGTTTTATCATTATTAACATTATTGTTATTGTTGTTATTATTATTATTACTATTATTATTATTATTATTATTATTATTATTATTATTATCATTATTATTATTATTATTATTGTTATTATCATTATTATGATTTATATTATTTTTATCATTATTATTATTATTATTATTATTATCATTATCATCATCATCATTATTATTATTATTATTATTATCATTATTATCTTTATTATTATTATCATTATTATTATTACTATTATTACTATTATTATTATCATTATTATTATTATTATTATTATTATTGTTATTATTATCATTACCATTACCATTATCATTATCATTATCATACGTGGCAAAGACAATGGTAGCACTAGTAATAATGGTAATGTTACTAGCAGCGAAGATTACAATAATGCATACCACAAATAACAATATTAATACCTCTATCACCTTATTACATCTCGTATAATTCCAGTCATCTTTTCTGCAATTATTTTGGCAGTTGAATATAGTGATTATCCTCGTGAAGCTGAAAAGCATCTTCTCATATAAACGCTGGATTCGCTTCGGTATATTCCAAATCCTGTTGATTGAGAGTCGCTCGTGCAGTCTGGATTATCTGCTGCCATTGCATCATGCAAAATCGAGACACTGATTCACAGATTCTGCGGTTCAGGACCAGCGTTCCGAGGAATCAGTTGCGTTGACAGGTGCACATTATTCATAAATGGCTGGATTTTTATTCTGTGAAAAACTTCAGGCTGTTTTTTACTCCTGTCTGTCTACTTATGTATATATATATATATGTGTGTGTGTGTGTGTGTGTGTGTGTGTGTGTGTGTGTGTGTGTGTGTGTGTGTGTGTGTGTGTGTGTGTGTGTGTGTGTGTGTGTGTGTGTGCGTGTGTGTGTCTGTATATGTGTGTGTGTGTGTGTGTACGTGTGTGTGTGTGTGTGTGTGTGTGTGTGTGTGTGTGTGTGTGTGTGTGTGTGTGTGTGTGTGTGTATGCGTGTGTGTGTGTGTGTGTGTGTGTGTGTGTGTGTGTGTGTGTGTGTGTGTGTGTGTGTGTGTGTGTGTGTGTGTGTGTGTGTGTGTGTATGTATATATGTATGTATTTATGTATATATATATATATATATATATATATATATATATATATATATATATACATATATATACATATATATACATGTATACAAATATATATACGAGGATGTATGTGTGTGTGTGTGTGTGTGTGTATGTGTGTTTGTGTATGTGTGCGTGTGGCACATTGCTTATGAAGTACATTTTTATAATCATTGATAGCATTTCTAAAATTCCCTTTGATCGTGAACAAAGCACACCAATGTTTCCATACAGTGCCTCTGTTTTGTTTAATTCATTGTTTGAAAATAAACTAAACTTTCCAATATTGCAATAGAGATTTGCATTTGCGTTATCATCCCCAGTAAAGCATCAGCTTATCATCGGACCGGAAATGCCGTTGCTGAAAAATCCGTTAAGACTTCCCTAGCGAGTCTCGATCTCAGGACGAGTTCGTGTTTGAGGCAAATATTCTTCGTCTTAAGTTATTTACATATCTCATGGGTGAGAGAATTTTCACTGTGTTGCAACTTCCATTTCCACTCTCATGCAGAGACAAGAGAGTGGCGTTTTGGCTCCTGAGGGAGACTTGTTGCTCCGACATCTGTTGTTGCTCTCTCTCTCTCTCTCTCTCTCTCTCTCTCTCTCTTTGTCATTCTCTCTCTCTCTCTCTCTGTCATTCTCTCTCTCTCTCTCTCTGTCATTCTCTCTCTCTCTCTCTCTCTGTCATTCTCTCTCTCTCTCTCTCTCTCTCTCTTTGTCTCTCTCTGTCATTCTCTCTCTCTCTCTCTCTCTCTCTCTGTCATTCTCTCTCTCTCTCTCTCTGTCATTCTCTCTCTCTCTCTATCAATCTGTCTATCTGTTGCTACACTATCCTTGTACATTCCATCGTCATAACATTCACCAAGCATTCCAAATCAGGGCGTATTTGGTTCATACAAAGACATGCATTTCTCCATTTGGCCGCTAACAGTCTGTTTCCTCTAGAACTCGATAAGCTACACATGCTAGTCTGATGCAAAAGAAAGCCTTGAGCAAGTGCTTTAAAATTATGCCAATAGAGGGCCAGGGCGACCACAATGTCGGTATCACTCAACCCAAAATGGCAGCGCCGTGTTCTCAATAGCACGATGGCCAGTTTTCCAATTTGCCGATAGTTCTTGCTTTACTTATCCGAAATTCACAAAGGCATGAACGAGCCAGGGTTAGGAAACAAATATATACATGAATTTTATTTCTACATGAAATAATTCGCGGTTCGCAAACCTTTTATGTTTTCAGGTATATATATATATATATATATATATATATATATATATATATATATATATATATATATATATATATATATATATATATATACGCATATAAACATATGTATATATTATATATATACACATATATATATATATATATATATATATATATATATATATATATATATATATATATATATATATATATATATATACATATATATATATATATATATATATATATATATATATATATATATATACATATATATATATA